CTCTCTCTCTCTCTCTCTCTCTCTCTCTCTCTCTCTCTCTCTCTCTCTCTTTCTCTCTCTCTCTCTTACTCTCTCTCTGCACATAATAAGTCAACGTCACTCTCTCTGTCTCTCTTTCTATATCTGTTGCTCTCGCTCTCTCCTTCCTATCTCTCTACCTTCCTCCCATATCCACACTCCATCTCTCTTACTCTATCTCGCCACCTCTCCCTCCCCTTATCTCTCCATCTTTCTATTTCAGCTGTTCTTGCTCTCTCCCCCTTTCCCTCCCTATCTCCCCACCTCCATCGTTCCTAACTCCATCTCTCTCACTATGTTCCCCCCTCTCCCTCCTCCTCCTCTCTCCCTCTCTATTTCTGTCCCCCTTGCTCTCCCCCACTCCCTCCCCATTCTCTCCCTACATCTCTATTTCTGTCCCTTTGCTCTCCCTCTCTCCCTCCCCCAAATCTCTCTCTCTCTCTCTCTACCTCTCTAATGCTGCTACTCTGTTCCCTCTCTCCCCCTTCTCTCCCAACCTCTCTATTTCTGTCCCTCCCTCGCGCTCTCCATTTCGCTTCTTCCTGCGGACACACACCAGAGCGCAGACAATCATCGCAGCGTACCTGTGGGAAACACCGGGTTGATGTTGCATGACGAGTAATCATATCCCTCATCAATCAGTTCCTGCACAAGCCGAAGACTCGCCTTCCTCACCCTGGGCACAACGCTGACGCCATGATACAGGTACACCTCGCTGCCACAGTCAAACACCAGCGCCTGCAAGACAACAGCGGCTTTCAGTCAGGTCAGGTGCTTTTCTCTTGTGAGAAACTCCTGTATACGTACGCCATATTTTTCGCGTACAGATATTTTCGTGAATTCAGACTTGACAAACAATTTTGCGAGTGGTTAATTTCGCGGTCGGTGAATTATGAATTATTCGGTATTATTCGGTATGAATTATTCGCGTGTTCTTATTTTCGCAATCGGGGACGCGTTTGCGAAATTCACAAAAATTACACCACTGCGAAATATACAGCATATACAGTTATAATATAAACCTCTACATAAACCTGTAGTGGCGCCGTCTAGCAGCAACCTTACATTATATAGTAATTACAAATATTTATTCAACTACACTTCAATAATTAAATTTTATATGATTTAAGTTGTATTCCTTACAAACTCCCTATGACAGTATAAATTATACAGTAATTCCTAATATTTACTCAATTAAACTTCAACAATTAAATTAATTATTATTTAAGTTGTATTCCTTACAATCTCTCTATAACCAACACACCTTACAATCTCTCTATGTCTATTATTCTGTCATCACAGCCTCTCTGCTAGTCATACCTCGTTTTTCTTCAGCATCTCGATCTTCGGCAGCTGACCCCAGTAGTCTTCGCTGGGCACCAGCAGCGCGTTGTCATCCTCCATCTCTACGCGATAAATCACGTTCGTGTCGATAATGTTCTCCTCAAACAGCTCATCCTCGTCCGGCGGCCCAGCCTCTGCAGCACAGATGCACACACGCTTATCGTCATGGTTACGTGATAGCATCACACGCATTCACCGCTGTAGTTACATAAGAACGTTACATGTAACCAGGGTTCTCCAAGGGCACTTATAGCCTGGCGGCCCGCCAGGCTATCGTCGAGCCCCGCCATCCTAAAATGCACCCGCCCACGTCTTAAGACTATCATCGAGCCGCCATGCTGAAATATCATAGCCCCCCGGACCCCCGCTAACGACGCAAAAAAGAAACAAAAAAAAACGCGAGGAACCGCGCCATCGGCGATCTTGCAACATAGGACCGTAAAGGCAGCACCCGCCATGGCTATATGATGAAAAAGCTTGAGAATCCTGCTAACCATGGCACTGGTACCTGACGAGTGAACATAGCACGTTGCACACTCTCATTGCCATGGTTACATGAGACAGGGAATATAAATTCCTGGATCCAACAGCTGGTGGTAAGAACGGGGCATGCGACATAGACGTAGGCAGTCGTGAGTGTATTATATTAATAAGAAAAGCAATCAGAGATAGCAAAACCTCGCTACAAACGTAACAGCCCCCACCCATCTTGCTGGTACAGCCCAAGTAGAACGAGATTTGAATGATTTTCGAGAAATTGCAACGAAATTTCTAATGAGAGTTCTTGTGCAGAATGGCGCAAGCATCCAGGTTCTGTCCGCCGTGGCACAACAA